CCAACATTGCTGTTTGCAAGTTGAAAACTTCCTTCTTGAATAATATCTAATAATCCTCCTGGTCTGTGTGACCTGTATGTTAGCACATGCTGAGAGCATGTCTATTCAGAAACCAGTCTCAATAACACAGCTGCAGCCCTGCAGAAAATTGTGCTGCCTGAACATGCCTATGCACTGCTCAAGCTAAAGGAAAGTTGTGCATAGGCACTGAAATCTAGTCTATCCTCAGCAGAGTCCTATAATGAACCTATTATTGTAAGATTTTTGGATTTATTCCACAAAGAAAGAGAATCTAGTTGAGACATGAAAAATGTGTCAATCTAATATAATAATAGAATATCTTGTGGTCTAATGACACATTAGTTTTATGAAAAGTTCTTTTCTGTTTAACCCACACAAACACAAACTTGCACTCAAAAACATTATGTAATTGTCAATCCATAATACATTTCTCTTGTCAGCTGAAAGACAGCAGTCTGCAATGACCAGCTTTATTGTTGAATTAAACAGTTCTTTGGAGCTCTTAATTTCTAGCAACTTTCATCCTGCAGATATTATTTCTCTAATATGAAATGTTACAGCGTAATTTTAGCTGTGTTCTGTATCCTGCTAACTATCGTAATCTCCTTCCTCATTCTTCCCAATCTCCTTTCCTTTTTCCATTAGTCTTAACCACAAAGTGAGGCCTTTTTTCTGAACTGATGTCACTGAGGAGGTATTTTTAAATAGCATTACCAAAAAATGAAAGAGCTTCCTAGCAGAAAATTGCAAAGCAGATAAAGAAGTTCATGGCTGAGACTTCTACAATACTCAACTCACTTGGTAATGTTTATCTCCCCAGCCAAACGTTCCCCTGAATGACTCTTTTGAATAGATGCCATATCATCCATATAAGACATCAAGAAGAAAAATTGCTGCTTCTTTTAATTATGAAATATAATAGAATTTTTGGAGTAATGAAATTCAGAACTGGAGGGACTTGTGTTATTTAATGTCTTCTTGCCTTACAGGAAATGTCAAAATGAAAATATCAGGTGAAAACTTGGAAGGACGCTTTCTTAGTTGCAGCTCTTGATAATGCATGTGTCTGCATTTAAGTGCTACCTCTGCATTTTCTCACAGTACTGATTCTCAAAAATAAGCTCCACCCTGTCTGAAATTTTGCCCTAAAGTCAGATTTTCAGACATACTCAACTAAATTTGAAAAGGAGGTATAGACGTTGTCTTTCCTTCGTAGCTCTGAAAGTTGCAGCTTTGTATTGCTGGTTTCTTAAGCTGTTTTTGCATATGCATATGAGCAGGATTGTTTTCTTTTTAATGTGGAACTACCATCTCCTTGCACATGAGGCATGATTGTGTAAAAGGTTTTGTGCATATGCAAGAGAGATGGGATTCCTCTCCAGCTTCTGAAGTCTAGGCTGCAGAGATCAGCAGCTGAGTCTGTCAATTGGCAAGAATGAAGCAACCTCAAAAGAGAAAAAGTTGTTTTCTTATTTCTGACTTTCTGATGAGCTTTCTCTTTCAATCAGCAACACCATTTCTTAATACAAGACGCTTCAAAAGAGAGATAATATTTAAAAAGAATACTTGTATGTCTCACAACTGATCCTTCCTTGTTAATAGCATTGGCATGGGTCTCTAATGCAGCCTGTTTCTATCTTAAAATGGGAAAGTTTTCTTTAATGTTGGATGAGATTAAGCAGTCACAAGCAGGATGCTAATCATATAGACTAGCTATGAAAAACTGAGAGGGGCTCTTCCCATTGTCAACACAAGTATGAAAAAGGAAAACACCATCATCGGGTATTCCTTTTCCAATAAAGGGAAACATTTCCCAAATACTTTAGTTGGCTTGCAATTCCAGTGCTCACAAATAGAAGTTCTTAATTGAGCACTCTGATATTGAGAATGCTCCAAATTGTATCAAGTGCATGCTAGGTCTTATAATGCTATCTTGCTTCTGGTTTGTTTCTTATTTAAGGTATGTCCCTTGCCAAAAATGTCACCATTGTATAAGAATGTCTACATATTCCCACTATGTTATGAGATTAAAAAAAAATAAAAAAACAAGCATAGGCCTGTCTGAGAGGTCTTGAGACAGATTATTATACAGTAATTCATCTCTGATTAGCTGAACCACCCAAACATGTTGAAATCCACACTTGGAAAGGACTTGGCATCATTTCTTCTGTTTCTGTCTTTCAGCAATTCTCTCAACAGAAGGAATAAATCATCATCCTGTTTCTCTCTAGTTCCCAAATATGTTCACATCCTCTGGATGCCCTTATGTTATGGATACAGGCAAGGGCTACCTGTGAAAGCTTACCACAGGGTCTGCTAAATCTTGAGCGTGCTTTGGCTTCAGAGAAGATGTTTAGGGCAGATGTAGCACTAACCTTAACAGTGGTGACAGTTTCATTCATTGATTAAATGCAACAAGAAGAAAACAAATGAGGCTTTCAAAACAGAAATGGTGACCTTAGGTTCTATAAGATATAATTAATGGCTGCTTGTTGCAATAAATACATTCCTATTGTGTTTATTGCATATGCAAAATCATCTCTGAAACAGGGTAGTAAATAGCTTTTCACAAACAATTTTTCAGAGTACTATTACAAAACTGTTAGGCAAAATGTACACATTTTCCAAGAATAGCAGGATGCACTCTTTTCAGTTAATAGAAGTTGGATATTTTAATTCATATGCAAATGGAAAAAAAATAAATGTTTAATGATGTTCTCCCTCTGAATTGCCTGATGCATCCCAGACTCTACAGAAAGAGCATGTCAGTCTTCCTTTTGTTATAAAGAAATTCTGATCTTCCAAGACCTTCCTTATGACAGTGTGAATGATGCCATTTTAACTTACAGTGTGTTGTTCGCTCTTTCATCAAAAAACAGAAGTCCTGAAAATTTCTTGGACATATGTTTTTCCATAATTTTATGGATGAGGTACAAGTGGTTTTGAGCTTTGGTTATTACTTCACATTTCCAAAATATTGGTAGAAGCTTGTGAAATAATGTGACTACTGCATCTAACCTCCTGCGCTAACACCAGCTTACACGTTTTTCATCTCACTTTTTAGTGTAACTCAGTTTTTAGCTGACATATTTCTGTACCTTTACTTTAAATAGATATTAGTTTAATTGCTTATGTGTTGCTTCTCTTTCTTCCAAATGTAGAAGTTAGAATCATAGAATAGTTAGGGTTGGAAAGGACATTAAGATCATCTAGTTCCAACCCCCTGCCATGGGCAGGGACACCTCACACTAAACCATCTCACCCAAGGCTCTGTCCAACCTGGCCTTGAGCACTGCAACGGATGGGGCATTCACAACTTCCCTGGCCAACCCATTCCAGTGCCTCACCACCCTAACAGGAAAGAATTTCCTCCTTATATCCAACCTAAACTTCCCCTGTTTAAGTTTTAACCTGTTACCCCTTGTCCTGTCACTACAGTCCCTAATGAACAGTCCCTCCCCAGCATCCCTATAGGCCCCCTTCAGATACTGGAAGGCTGCTCTGAGGTCTCCATGCAGCCTTCTCTTCTCCAGGCTGAACTGCCCCAACTTTCTCAGCCTGTCTTCATACAGGAGGTGCTCCAGCCCCTGATCATCCTCATGGCCTCCTCTGGACTTGCTCCAACAGTTCCATGTCCTTTTTATGTTGAGGACCCCAGAACTGCACACAATACTGCAGGTGAGGTCTCATGAGCGCAGAGTAAAGGGGCAGGATCACCTCCTTCGACCTGCTGGTCACGCTCCTTTTGATGCAGCCCAGGATACGGTTGCTTTCTGGGCTGCAGGCGCACACTGAAGCCAGCTCATGTTCATTTTCTCATCAACCAACACCCCCCAGTCCTTCTCCACAGGGCTGCTCTGAATCTCTTCTCTGCCCAACCTGTAGCTGTGCCTGGGATTGCTCTGACCCAGGTGTAGGACCTTGCACTTGTCATGGTTAAACTTCATGAGGTTGGCATCAGCCCACCTCACAAGCGTGTTGAGGTCCCTCTGGATGGCATTCCTTCCCTCCAGCGCATCAATCGAACCACACAGCTTGGTGTCATTGGCAAACCTGAGGGTGCACTCAATCCCACTGTCCATGTCAGTGACAAAGATTTTGAACAAGATCAGTCCCAACACCGATCCCTGAGGGACCCCACTCGTTACTGGTCTCCAGCCGGACATTGAGCCATTGACCACAACTCTTTGTGTGCGGCCATCCAGCCAGTTCTTTATCCACCGAGTGGTCCATCCATCAAATTGATGTCTCTCCAATTTAGAGACAAGGATGTCGTGTGGGACAGTGTCGAATGCTTTGCACAAGTCCAGGTAGATGACATCACCTGCTCTACCCCTGTCCATCAGCTCTGTAGCCCCATCATAGAAGGCCACCCAATTGGTGAGGCAGGATTTCCCCTTAGTGAAGCCATGCTGGCTGTCACCAAGCACCTTGTTGTTTTTCATGTGCCTTAGCATGCCTTCCAGGAGAATCTGCTCCAAGATTTTGCCAGGCACAGAGGTGAGACTGACTGGTCTGTCATTCCCCGGGTCATCCATTTTCCCCTTCTTGAAAATGGGGGTTATATTTCACCTTTTCCAGTCATCGGGAACTTCACCTGACTGCCATGATTGTTCAGATACAATGGCCAGTGGCTTCGCAACTTCAATTGCCAGCTCCTTCAGGACCCGTGGATGGATCTCATCAGGTCCCACAGACTTGTGCACATTCAGGTTTTTAAGATGGTCTCGAACCAGATCCTCTCCTACAGTGGGCCCAAGTAGTTCAGGGATTTAGATACCGAGACATGTTTTAGCTTCTTGCCTGTCTCTTGAGACAGTGGTAGCTCCCCTGGAAGGTCAGAGAAGAGTGACTAAAGTCTTGAATGAGGGAAGGAGCTCCTTTCCTAAAAGAAAGAATAAGATAAGTAATGATTAATTATGATTCATGTAATTAATATATGACTGTGATTGTGGAAAACTTGAGTGGCATTCACACAACTGGTCCTAGGTTAGATTGCCCAATTTTGTCTCTCTCTAAAACTGTGTGAGAAAAATGTGTCTGCCTTGTTGAGACCTACCCACAGTACATCCATGAATTATAGAATAGAAAGAAAGAGGGAAAATAGTTTCTTGAAACTGAGGCTTTTTACACTGTTGTTACAACTCTGTTGGAATGATAGTTATAGCATTAATTTACTATGACTTCACAAAAGACTGGACAATGAGACACTAAAACCTTATACTGCTGCCATGATTATATAGCAATAGAAGGAAATTGTAATGGATATTCCTCTTATGACTTACATGAATAATTTCTCCAGACTTCCTCACACTTATTAACTTTTACAATTTTAAGGACATAGAGGAGTTCTTTTTGTCCCTTACTTTCCAAGTCTGACAGCTTAAGCACAGACACAGGCTTTCCTTGTATTTCTCCTCATATTGCACCTCAAGCAGTTAGAGGGTAAATGAGCATAATGCAACTTTCTGCAACCATGGCTGACGCTTCTCTGTCATTTCTGACCTCATCTGTGCTGAAGTGGAATATATGGCAAATCCCAAACATGCCAGATGGAAGAAAATCAATCACTTTAGTAAATGTGTGTTGAAGAAAACCACACTTATTGGTTCTTTCAATGATATCTCTGTAAAAGTACAAGTCAAATGGGTGTACATATGTAAAATATATTAGAATTGCAGAAAAGGGATTTTATGAAGCTCTTTTAGAAAGATCTGGGACAGATGTGTTAGATACATTGCCAGAGGAATGCAATATTTTCATGGATTACCTACCTTACAGAAAGTAACTGTCATAACACATCAAAGTGCCAGTAAGTTAGCAAATTCATGTAAGCAGTTAGCTGTATTATAGAAAAATATCATTTCTCAGAAGGACATATCTTTGAGTACCTTCTTCTTTCCTGCTAGGTCGTCTCCTAACATTGATGGCAAGTTTAGGCTCCTTTTTATTCTTACTGATCAAAAATAATGTGTATTTGCATCTTCTATCTTTTCATTGCCAGCCATTCCCAATACTGTAGAGGTTCCCCATGCACTGCTGAGCAACCTGAACTCTGAATTAAAGGTTTTTGAGCAGCTAGTGAATAATAGTGTGTAAGCAATTCTTGTTGTTTGCTGATGAAACAACACACTTCGAATGTTTTTTCCCCCTTCCAAGCTCAAACATGTACATATTTTAAATATGAATATGGGGTTTTTTTTCCAGAGGAAGTCATATATTGTATGCAGTAAAAAGTAGGCTTTTTGAAAGAGGAAGCTGGAGAAGCAAAGGACTTGCTGTTATAAAGTTTCAAAGGTTTAATGCATTTGAAATGTGTTTCTTTAGACTGATACAAACACATACAGATATTCTCAGTCTGCTTCAAATTCTGCTGCCATTAAATAAAGTTTAAACCCGTTCTTAAGTGACTTGATCTAAATGGCAATTGTCCAAGTTTCACTTTTTTTTTTCCCTCTTGTATTTCAAGTCTAAGAGAGGTGGGTTCAGTTCACACATTGTTTTGTGAAACCTTGAAGTTGCTCAAGGCCAGTAACTTTTCCTATTTGCTTTTCCACATTTAGTGCCTCATCACTGTAAAGCAACTTCCAGTCCCCAGGCTCCTGCTGTTGGTTTGAGATTTTACTTGTGTTTAGATTGAGCATAACAGTATGTACCTGTGCTGCTGAAGCTTGAGTGCTCTGCACACTGGATCGCAATTGCAGTTGCGGATATATGAACAAATCAAAACACAAGTGTTCAATGATAATAGGATTAGCACTGGGAGATTTAATTCCTTTATCTCTCCGACCAATAAAACACAAATTGTTTTAGTGCTGGCTGGCATTTTCCATTCAAAATATGTTTCTACAGAGACTCTGGAAAACTACTATGTGAGTGTAAATGAGATTAAGCTGATGCTGTGGCTCTTTATTATCTGAGCTTTTAAGATTAGACACATGAATCAGTCCTTCTGTAAGTAAGTGTGAATAGAAAAAGTATTGTAAGAAAGCCAGACATTTGAGGAAAAATACCTGAATAGGTTTGGTAGCAGTTTATGACTGAAGGAAATGATACAGACTTTGTGATGGAAAAGCCAGTTCACCTCTGTTAAATTGGCTTTATCTATGGTAGTTTGCTGTTATAACGCACACAAAATAGATCTGGGGTTTCCACCCCCTCCCAAGGTATAAATAGCTATTTCCATATTGAAGATTTTGTTTTATCTTTATTCTGTGCATTCTCTGAAGATAGTGCTGATATCAAAGACTGAACATGCAATGCACTGAGTATTGTTTGCTGCTTTAAATCTCTGCTAGCAAGACATGAAGTGAATTTACTACCAGAATGGAATTGGGGTTTATTTCTTGTCATGCATTTGTCTTTCAGCCTGACATCCCTGCTGTGAATGGCTTTGTCTGTGGACTCTGCTTTGTACCGCTGGCAGCGACTAGGAGCTCAGAGTTCCTCCCAGACTCCCTCAGAATCAACACCACTGCTGTCTTCTGTCAGAGACAAACCAAAACTCAACTTAAGCAAATGGAGGATTGTGTTACCTGACAATGAAAGAGAGTGGAAAGACTGGAAACAAGCTTCTTCATTTTATTCTGGAAACAGGATACAGACCACAAAATACACATGGTTCACTTTTTTGCCCAAAAATCTTTTTGAGCAGCTTCACAGGTAAAAAACATAATTCAGTGATACATGAGGTTTAAGAGCTGTCGTTGAGACAATGATATGTGAGAATGATAGAGGAGGGCTGCTTTTTGTAGTTGTCACATTACTAAAATCTAGTGATGATTATTTGTAACCAAATGTCCCTTAATACACACTGAAATGTTTAAAGCAAGTAAACACTGGGTGCACTTAACCAGTGTCATGGCCAGCTTCCTGTTTGCGTGCTGGAACAGTTTTCTATGTAAAAATTTCAAGTTTTTTATTTCAAAATCCATCTGTTTCTTTCTTGCATAAATCTTTATTTTTTAAGGAGATGTAAAAACATTCATTGGATGTGTTGAGACACCTATGAAGTTCTGTAGATTTCAAAGGCAAGGGACTTTGTTTACCAGCTTATAAACAGTATACATGTATATGCAAATGCTAGGTCAGGTTTCTTTCCAAGTGTGGGTTTGAAATTATGTGCCCAGCATAAGAAATTGTGTCAAGAAGATGCTCATGGAAATATCATTATAATAAATATAAATTGAAGTTGTATATACATCTCTAGCTTTGAAATTTTCATTCTGTATGTTAGATTTACACGTTTATAGTTTGATCTTCCACCAGTGGAACACTTTATGGATCCTTCCATTCTGAATATGTGGGTTTTTACACCCATTCTGTTACACACTGGTTTGGGGTTTTGAAGGTTTTGGAGGCTTTTGTTTGATTTTGTGCTTATTTTCAGGACTCGGGCAATGGGGGATCATTAAAGAAGTTTCAGGTCCTAGTGGAAAAAGGTGTTCATAATAAGTGGAAAAATTGAGGGTAGCTGTAACATTATTAAAATGTACATCACAGGCTCTTCTAAAGAAAAAATTAGCATCTCAGTTAAGCAACTGATTAATTCATTCTGGGAAAGGAAGAGGGGAGGGTAAAGGAGTGAAAAGATTAATGTTCCTTTGACACAAACTAGGGGGTGTTCATTAAGAAAAGGGCACATTCTAATTTCTGACTACTTTTAATTTATTTTATACCTTTTCAGGCTGGGTAATCTTTATTTCTTCTTTCTGGTGGTCTTGAACTGGTTCCCACAAGTAGAAGTCTTCCATAGGGAGATTACCATGGTGCCTCTGATTGTAGTGCTGCTTGCCAGTATGATTAAAGATGCTGTAGAAGACTACAGAAAATACCAATTTGATAAGACAATAAACTCCTCTAAAACCAGGGTATATGACAAGTAAGTAAACTAAACCGATTATTTTTCCCTGTGTTTGATGTGGTAGAAACTGCTCATCTGATTTTGTACAATTCCCTCCCCGATCCTTTGGAGTATAGTAAGTTTGGAAAAGCTGTTATAAAAGAGTTTTGTTCTGCCTTTAGAAATGCCTTATTTCTCTCACTTAAGTCATCCTGAGATCACTGAAGTTTTGTTTCATATCACAACAGTGGGTGCTGATATACAAGTTTTCATTCCAAGTTTCCAAACCAGCTTGCCAACACACACAACATCCTCCCCAGGTAGCAGAAAAATCTGGAGGGAAAATGAAATGTATCCAAGTCTGGAAAGGATTACTGGAGCTGTTTAACAAATTGGAGCAATGTCTTTCTGACCTTTGACGCTAAAACCATTAATACAAAAATTAATAATAAACTACATCTAAGCATAACCAGAAACTGAAAAACAATGTATAGGACTTGTAGTAACCGCAGGTGATCAATACAGCACAGTTTCACTTTGGAGATGGTACAGCACCTGCAGTAAGCTGCAATGTTTGCTCAGTACTGACTCAGAAGGAAGAAATATTTTCATGTGCAATTCTTATTGCAACATTTTTATTTCATCATAGTTTCTTGTCCAAGTACTAACTTGACTTGAGAGTACCTAGCTTGTCACTATACAATGAAATAGCTAGGAGTTTTCATTTAGAAGAAGTTTAAATGTTTGGATCTCTTCCTTTTTTCTCCTTTCCTTAAGCCCAGGTCATAGAGAAAAAATTACTGTGATTTGCACACATCTCATTAGCTTTCATAGAAACTAGCCCTCATTTGTGCTAGCATACTTACGTGTCAGAGGCACAGGGACCAATGGGGAAGAAGAAATGAGAGGCTGGAAGGGGTGACTGGGCAAGAGAGGGACGCTTTAGGTGTCCAGAAGCAGGAGGTCTATCAAAGATCAGGCTGAGGGGAAATCTGGGTAGACTGCCCTTCAATTGCCTATGTTTATGTATAATTCCCGCAACTACTATATCATAGGTTTGTTTATTTAATAATCCATTTTATGGTCATGAAAAGAAACAGCAGATAGAGGAAGTAGAAGAGAGAAATAGTGTCAGCATTGAGACTTACAGCAGCTATCTGTTGACTCCTGGGACACACAGCTCTGCCTATTACCTTTGAACTTCCTGGCAACACCCAAGCTTATAAAATGATTCTGAAATCTGTGGAGTGAACCGTGAAAATCGTGAGTGTGCTCTCAGCTTTGTCGCTGCTCTGTGTTAAAACAGAGACACTTCATGTGAGCAGATAGTCAATGCCAGGGAAGTGCTCTGAACAGGGCCTCCAGGTGTATGCTAACAGGAATAACAACACATTCAGGATGCTTTTGTCATATGAAAGGTGCAGCCTCCTCAGCAGGCTCTAGGACCCGGCGCAGCTGAGTCAGGATAATACCTGTCCCTAGGCAGGTGGAGGCTGGGGTGGAAGGAGAGGCAGTCCTGGGATTCAGACACCTCGACTCTTTTCTCTACGACTCGGGAGTTTGTTTGGATTATTGAACTCTTATAACTTCGTTGGATTTCAACTTGAGGCTACATTTTGAGAGGAAAACAAGATGTCAAGGAAAAGTGTTCCAGGTTGCTTCTCTAGAATGATATGGAAAAAACATTTTTTCAAGGAAACCTGCTGCCACTGTGGTACTCCAGACACTGAAATCCAGAATGAAGAGCTGGAGAAGAGAGGAAAAGTAAAGAAAAGAAAGAAGAAAAATGAAAATAAACGAGTGATCATCTCCAACTTGAGCTTTGGCAGTAAGAAGTGGAAGGAAAATCCAAACAGATACTATGACTCCAATAAAATTAAGACTACAAAATATACCATCTTGACTTTCCTCCCTAAAAATATCTATGAGCAGTTTCACCGCTTTGCTAATATTTATTTTGTGGTCATTGCACTGCTGAATTTTGTGCCCATCGTGAATGCTTTCCAACCAGAAGTTTCTATGATCCCAATTTGTGTTATAATGGCCATGACAGCCATTAAAGATGCTTGGGAGGACTTCCGGCGGTATAAATTAGACAAAGAAATCAATCACATGGGATGCTACATCTACAGCAGGTGAGTTTTATACATCTTTTATTTCCAAAAAAGTTGTCTTCAGATCTCTTAGAAATGGTGAGGCTTTATTTATAAAAATTAATAAATAACTGCAGGAAAGTCACAGTGATTAAGTAAAATAGGAAAAAATCCTAAGGACTATATTTCACCTGGTATTTGTTCTGATACAGGGAAAGATGTTTGTTTTTTGGTTTAAACCTCATTTTCAGACTGGGAAGGTAAATTTGAGTTTTATGTTATTGGTGTGGCTATGGCCTTTTAAACACAGAGTGAAAACAGATGCTGTTGTGAGACCTGTTTGCATTCTTAGATACAAAAGAAAACCTCTTAAAACCCTAACCCTTTGAACTACGTTTAGTTTTATTCTCTACACTGTACTCTCTTCTCAGTTGTATTTCTTTTACTAGGTTTTATTAAAATAAAACTGTAAAAATACTGTTTAAAAATGGGAGATAGTAATATATGTGTCTGCTCAGTCATCTCTAAGTGAATTAACTACATGTATCCATACATGCTCACTACTTCAACATGTCTCATGACCTCTTCTTGCTTTTAGGAGTTTTAGAATTTTGAAAATTATGTTTTCATACAAAGAAAATTGTATCAAAACCATTCTCTCAGCAAAGTGGAAAATTGCTTCTTCCTGTTAAAATCTCACGTCTCAGTCAGAAGAGCAAAACTTTCCATTTCTGTGAATGCTGCCTGTCATACGTCAAATTAATCAATAGTGATTTATATAATGTACAGTTTCACAAGCAAGATCTTTCAGAACTCTGGCTTTTATCACACAGCACTGTCATTTCTGTTTGTTTCTCTTGTATGTGTTTGTCAGATTTTTATTTTTATATCCTGCTGGTTAAATAGGAAAACAATGGATTTGCTTGTCAGGGGACTAAACTTAGCCCTACATATAGATAATGACTTGCCAGAAACAAAACCTCACTGCTCTCCTTGCCAACTTGTCCAAAAAAACAGACATTTTACAAGTTTCTATATATTGTTGCTTTAAGATTTATTCTCTTCCACCATGAAGACTGTCAATAATTGTAGCTCTTTGGGTGGGGTGGCTAAATTGCCTCTTCTGCCTACCTCTGAGATTGCAATCTACTTGGATTTTTTTAATCTTTTCAATATTGCATTAACACGTGAAGCAATGGATTATTTCTTAACACTTGTTAAAACCAGTATGAAAGAGAATAGGTGGTGCAGTAGGTACTACTGAATGAATCTGCATAGAAATCATTGCTTTAGGTAAAGCAACCATGTTAAATAGAAATTATCTGAAAGCCTTTTATCATGGGAACACGAGAATTGGGAAATACAATAAGACCTGTTTAGTATAAGAGAAAAATGTCCATAATGGAATTATAATATATGTACAGGTCCAAATTCAAATTATAGTCATGAGTACCTAAAACTTGACATGGACCTCTCTTAAAATTGATTATCCCATCCCATAAAAGAGACTTTGATCTATGAATAAGTGTTGCCTAGAATCTTGTCTATCACTAAGGTTTTATTGCCCAAAACCATGATGTAAGGAAAGGAAAATGAGGAGGGCTTCAGACTATAGCATTCACCCTGTCTGGAAAAATCATTGGTAATTATAATTGCCATCAGATCAGTAGCTACAGCTTATTATATCATGAATAATTTTAATCAGGCTTCTATAGCGCTTTGGGAAGCTGATATTTCTTGTTCTTCTTGCTGCCTGCAAAGTCATGGAAGAGCATAATGTCTTCCAGTTTTCTTCCTTATGAGTCATCTTCTGTAGGTAATTTTTTAACATAGGTGAAAGTCCTTTTAAAAAACACAGAAAGCTTTGTAAGTCTTGTGGCAGCAAAATATTATTTTTAATAAAGCAACTGATCTTCCATTCTAAGATGAAATATTACTTCAAATTTAAGAGTTAATCTTGGAGAGTATAGGGTATTTCAGATTTCAGTAACAAGAACTCTGGTTCCTGTTCAAAAAATCCCCAATTAGATACAAAGGCAGAACAATCTTTACCAAATGCTGAATGTCATCTAAAACTTTCTTGAAGACTAGGGGAAATGAAGTAACTTGCCTTCTTTCAACACAGAACAGGGGAAATTTAATTTAAGTAGGCTGCCCTGTAAACACATTTCTTCTCATTTTCTCTTCACAAGGATCAGCTGGAATGGGAAATCTAGTCTGCTAGCCAAATGAAGAAAAAGACACTTCAAGCGGTATTTAAAGAACATTTAATTGAGAAAATGGGAGACAATTACTAGTCATTGAAGTGTTTTGGGGAGATGCAATAACTTAGATCTAATATTTGATTGTGGAGGTTTCAGTTTCTGAACCAAAAGTTCTGGAATCAAAATAATTGCATACCAACTGTTGTGCTGTCAGAAGGAATCGCTCAACACCAAAAGAAGAGAACAAAAGATTCAGTTGCAGATGGCACAGACCTATGTTTAATTGCCTTCTTTCTCCTGATGTTCTTCAAAGTATACTTTGTCTGCTTTCAAATTTTTACAAGCAAGTCAGTTTCCATTACTACAAAATTGTCAAAGCATTTTCTATGATGTTCTGCTTTATTATACCTCTTTAATTGCATTTTAATTCCTGAGATCACCTGGTTTCATGCAAACTTAATCAGTTATTCTTCATCCAGAACATTTAATTATAATCTTAAATTATGTGTGATGTTTCACATGTTCATTTTGCTATGCCCAGCCACCTTGTAGTCGAGATCTGTGTGTAGATCACTCTCTTCATCTTTCTTGTCAGTCAATCCCTCCAAACCTACTGTGGTTACTTTTCTCTGAACTCTCCCTGGTTTGTCATTGACTTACTAACAACGTGGGCCAGCACTAACTGTAAGTAAGCTGTAAGTGAATGTCAACCCCACAGTTACTAAAAGCTATTATTTCATTT